CTCCCTTCTCACTTTGAGGCATCAAGAGTGAAGTTCTGACCACAGAGGGACCTGCAGAAACCGGGAGACAGCAGAGAGGGTGGGAGAGGAACGGCTGTCTGCAGAGGTGCGAGCACTGGTGGGGGTTAAAAGGCTCCAACAAGTCATTTTCAATGGTGGCAGAAAATACAATACCTTCTCAACCAAAATTACAATTCAAAAATTGACCTAAGAAGATCTTGCAAAACTTGGGTGTCTTTCTGGAGTGTGGAACAGACTCCATCATCTCTGACTTTCCTAAGTACAGGGGTAGGAGAAACATCCCAGCTATTGGGAATCACAAGCTAAGACTTAGGGCATGAAAGTGTTGTGGGGGAGATGGCACAGAGGGATCCGAGACCGGCGTCAGCATTGCAGTTTTGCAGCTCTTTGTTCGGGGTCACAGCACCTTTTTGCTTGCAAGCAAGGAGAGCACTGGGCAGTGAAGACTCCTAGANTTGCTGTGCCATTTCCAGCAGGCCCCTCCATCCCCCACGGTGTTTTCCAGAGTGGTGCGAAGAGACCATCCCAGACGCAACAACCAACTACAGGGCCCTCTCCTCTCCCTCTGGGGAAGCCACATGCAAGACATCCCTTCTCCCTGTGCCAGAGCAGGCTGGACTCACATCACCCCAAGGTGCAGTTGATAGAGAAACAGATAGTTGGCGAGGGCGTTGACAACGTTGGCAGCGACTCCAGTTATGACCTGGGGCAGGACGATTCCCTGGAACAAGGAGACACCACATGCCATACCTGAGATCCACCTTTTCTGCCATTTTCTGCTCTACCTGGNACACCTGTCCTGCCACGCATCAGGATAGGACAGCAGATGCCGAAAAAGTCAGCCGCAAAGGAAAGAGGAAACTATTTCTCCCAAGGTCATGCTGACCCTGAAAAGTGTCCCTACACCCCTTTTGTTGAAGGACGACTGCCTTCTTACTCACTGAGAAACTTTGAAAGTCACACACTGCAAGAAATTTTGCTGATTGAAATCGTATCAGTAGAAGGTAAATATCCCACACTCTTGCCCAGAGGATTGAAGTCACTTTATTTATTTTATTTTATTTATTTATTTTTTCCTTTTTTGTCTTTTTTCGTGACTGGCAACAGATCGCAACCCTCAGTGTCATGCCCGTACCGGACCAGGACCGGCCACGGGATCGCAACCCTCGGTGTTGCTCCCGCCCCTCGCTCAGCCAGTGAGCGGCCGGTCTGTATGTGGGATCCAAACCCTCGGCGGGAGCGCCACCGCGCTTCCCAAGCTACGCACTACAGCAGTGCGCCACCGGGCCGGCCCCTGAAGTCACTTTAGCACAAAAAAGCAGCCTGCGTTTCCAGCCCAGGTGCAGAGCCTCACAAGTTCCTGGTCGTGGCATTCGACATCCATGTACCTTCTACATCCACCTTGGCTTTGCAGTTTCCAAGAGGAGAGGACGTGGGTCCACACTGCAGGCCAGATCTGCCGCTGACCACTCCTCCTGCCTGCCCTGCTCGGAGACCACAGAGCCACGGCTTCAGTTCCATCTCGCTGCAACCCCACACTTCTCCAGACTCCTGTGATAACCCCTCCTCCTCTGTCTGATGGGACATGCCACGGCTCCCCTGGTCTCTCAGTGCAATGGGTCGATAAACCTGCTGCAAACCCAATCCGACTACAGGTTTGTCTCTGGTGGTCTTGGACTGATGGGGCCAGGGCTAGAGTCTTGGCCAGTGACTTAACATGGGCCACTTGTTTGCA